TTTTTTTTCTTTTTTTTTGGCAGAACCGGGGATTGAGCTCAGGCCCTTGCGCTTGCCAGGGAAGCACTTATTCCACTGAGCCATCTCCCCGGCCCCAAAAAGTATATAATTCTTAGGACTGGAGTCAAGAATAAAATGAACCAATTGGAACTATGTGTGAGGGAGGGGAAAGAATAGAAATGATCCAAGCTTGCAAATTCAGTTCCAATTAAAGAAGGCTGTTCGTAACAGATAATGTGGATAATTGTGAGATAAATGCATTATCACTTTACTTGGTCCCTGGAGACCCAAATAAGCTCACACACCCATTGCGAGATCATTCAGTCACAAGGGCCAGGGATATTTTTGAACCTGAGAATGAATAGTCAGAGGGAGGGGTGGGTGATGATGGTAAGACACTCGGGAATAATAAAATTTTAATTTTATATAAATGATATCATATTCTTTGGAAAGAAAAGCTCCTTTTTCTCTGGATTGAGGGCTTCAGTTGGTAAACTTGTTTTAGAGGCTCAGCCTAGGTTTCGAGGTACTGTAAGCAAGTGTGAAGCACATTTTCCTGACATAACGTCTGCTGTCTTTGTTGATTCACCTGCCTCCTGCTGCATAGTTTTATGAAGGGAAGAAAGGAGGAAGAACCTGTGTGAACAAAGCAAGGGAAATCGAGGAATGGAAGGAAGGCAGGAGCATGGAAGAGAAGGGTTTCTAGGTCTGTCTCTTGTGGTGTTTGTCTTGAAATAAGTTTAATCTTTTAGAATAAATAAATTTAACTTAGATCACATTTGAGACATGAATAACAAAACTTCCTTTCCATTATGTTTAAGGCCAAGAAATGTTACTGGCCTCTCTCGAGTCCTTTCTGTGCTGGAGTTTTGCTTGGGTTTGTTGGACACACATAGATTCTGGCTAACAATTCCCTAAAGTATCTGCACATCTTACTTTTCTCTCCTCTACACTATTTAAAATACTCCCAGTAGGCAGACACAAAGGTGAAGTGCCCGTGCCAAGGAGAAGGGATCCGTGTTAAAGTTCTTCCTACCTTGTGCCTGGGCTTGGAGATTTCTTTGTGCCTCTTCTCCTTGAGGATTTGCACTGAGACAACCAAGCTTGAGCAGCATTCTTCCTGGCTCCAGAGCGCTTGCTCCTCCTCCTGTTAATCTTTCTCACAACAGCCCTGTGAGCTGGTCAAGACATCCACTTCATCCAGCTCAGTTCATGCTTAGACAGAAGAAATCTCCAGTGTAGACAGGTTGACTGGTTCAGCAGTATTTCTCAGAAAGTAAAAAGCTAGAACTCACCAAATCCAGAGCTTCCCACCTCACTACCTCCTCCCACCCCAAGCTCTCCTATGGACCTGGAGTTTCTAAGCAGACTGTTGGCCTTCAAAATCATGCATCCGGCTTCTCAGGTGCACAGGTTTAGGGAAGAAGGGCAAACTCAATGTACCAATGATTTGAGATGTCAATTTCCAGTGTTGGCTTTCTCTCTCAATGCCAAGAAGCAAAAATTTCCCCCTCCCTTTCCTGTAGCATTTTGTGAAGTTAGACAGGTGTGGCACCCGGACAGGGAAAGTAATTTTTAAAACTCATTAGAAATCAGAACAAATCAGGAAGATTACATTTGTGGGTTTATGGTAAGATACTGTACTATTGTTAGTGAGGAAACAAGATACCTTCCAATTGACACATGCTAATGATCCATTAGATATTTGGGATTATTATTTTGCATTTTAAAACATAAGCACAAAGTCAAATAATAGAAGAGCCCACAGTGAAGATGACTTACAGGTTTGCAAAGGGATTTTCCAGGTCATAGGTCAGATAACCACATGGGGCCACAATTTTCCAATTTTTACATTAACATCTGGTCTAAATGCCCACAGTTTTCTCTGCTGTGTCACTTTTCATTCCTCAGTGAAAAATCATAAACTTTTGCAATTCTGTAGCCTAAAACTTTTGCTGAGCTGCCTGGAAGCCAGAAATAAATGACCCATGTATTTCAAAATGCTCATTGCAAAAGATTTGGAGAGCCCTGCTGGGCTAATCTGTAGGTCTGGAGCTATGACCTACCCAAGAAAGGGGCTGATCTGTCCTCGAATTTCAAAACTTCCTGGCAGGTCTATTCCTGTAACGGCTGCATAATGCAAATCATCTTGGAGCTGCAAACGTAAATGTCCAGAGTTCAAGAAATAATAATGATCAGTTGGCCAAAAATCTCTGGCTATCGCGAGTCAGATTCCTGTAAGGCTTAGCAAGGCAAGTTTAAATTTTTAATAAACTGCAGAGATGGACTTGTGCAGAAAAATCTCATTGGACAAGGATGCAGGGATGACAATTAATTTAACTTAGACAAAAAATAATGATGAAGGAGTAATTTAGGCATTTCACAAATATTTCCATACTCCTTACCCTCTTCTAGGCAACTTGGAGCAGTGATTTTGGACAATTGATTTTACTTCCAGTCCCCTTTCTGGTATCTCTCCATTAATCCAAGTAATTGATAAGACATGGTAGGGGAGGTCAAAATATCTTCTTGGTATTGTTTCACTATACCAACTAATAATTTATTTTTTTGATAAAGCTAAAAGGTATTGCATTGTAAGTAACAGGAATAATTCTTAACTATAAAATATTAATGACAAAATACT